TAGAATTCGAAACTTGTAAGAGTTTGAAAAGGAAGAGAGAATTTAAAAGCATTAAAGATAAAAATATTAATTCTATGAATATAAAAATAACAAGGTTCTTTCGAGACAAACGGATTTATTTAAATGAGGGTAACGGATTTGAAAATTTCTGTTGATTATTTCATTTTCCTTCATGCTTAAATTACCTTTCCGGACGGCCTATTTCAAAAGAATATTGAAAAAGAAACACATAGATCGTAAGTTACATTACGTTGTAACGATTTTCATATCCAGTGTCTCTATAATCACGAAGGATGATAATGTCTTCTAAAAAACATCTAATGTCCCGCTACGTGCACAAATCCGTATTTGTAGGAAGTGGATTGAAAAGATATAACACAAACAGTTTCGTTGCAATGAAAATATTTCCTTCCGTCCCCGAGCCTCGGTAGCGCAGTAGGCAGCGCGTCAGTCTCATAATCCGCAACTAGGAGAAATCTGAAGGTCGTGAGTTCGAACCTCACCCGGGGCATTTAGTTACTGTTTTGGAGCCGTCTTAGCTTGAAGCGTCTGTCTCGAGCAATTACTATTTGAGAAATGTTTTTGATATCGAAATATTCAATTCCCCTTTGATTATTCGACTCTAAGCAATGGACTGTTCTTTTCTCTTTAAAATTCAAAGTCTTATATATTTCGGGAAAGATGGTGTAAAAAATATTTGTTTCGGTAAACATTGTTTTAGAAGTAAAAAAGTGACGTTTTTTGATAAAAATACTTCAACTGTTTAAAAAAATTAGATAAAGAAATAAAGACATTGCATTTTCACAAAAATTCGAATGTACTTGAAGGGAGTCCCATGTGGTCTAGTGGTAAGGATTCCTGGCTCTCACCCAGGCGGCCCGGGTTCGATTCCCGGCATGGGAAGTTTGGGTTCCATGGTGTAACGGTTAGCACTCTGGACTTTGAATCCAGCGATCCGAGTTCAAATCTCGGTGGAACCTTTATTGCTTTTAGATACGACAATAATGTGGGAGTTGTCAACTCTGAGGAAGAGTTTATCCAAATCCGGAATCTGAAAGAAAACTTGATAAGAGTGATATTTTTTAATGTGAAAAAGGCTTGTATAGTAAATTCCTGTTCCAATGACCGCAGTACGAAGCGAAAATTTTTAAATGATTTTCTATTGTAAATTTAAAGTTTGTGTGAATTTTATCTGCTTCCAGAGAAAGTGAAATCATGCAAAATAACATACGTTTCTCTATTCAGTCCATGCGTTCTCAAATTCCACTAAAAAAGTTTTCTTTCGAGAAGAATTAAAACCAAACTTTTATAAAAACAATTATAATGCTGATGTGCAAAGATAAGAACAATTCGAATAGAGACGTTGTTTGGTCGTTCCTAGAGTCTCCCATGTGGTCTAGTGGTTAGGATTCCTGGCTTTCACCCAGGCGGCCCGGGTTCGATTCCCGGCATGGGAAATATGGGTTCCATGGTGTAATGGTTAGCACTCTGGACTCTGAATCCAGCGATCCGAGTTCAAATCTCGGTGGAACCTTGCTTTTTGAAACAGATGTTATTGACACCTATCAAGACGTACATGTAGAATTCGAAACTTGTAAGAGTTTGAAAAGGAAGAGAGAATTTAAAAGCATTAAAGATAAAAATATTAATTCTATGAATATAAAAATAACAAGGTTCTTTCGAGACAAACGGATTTATTTAAATGAGGGTAACGGATTTGAAAATTTCTGTTGATTATTTCATTTTCCTTCATGCTTAAATTACCTTTCCGGACGGCCTATTTCAAAAGAATATTGAAAAAGAAACACATAGATCGTAAGTTACATTACGTTGTAACGATTTTCATATCCAGTGTCTCTATAATCACGAAGGATGATAATGTCTTCTAAAAAACATCTAATGTCCCGCTACGTGCACAAATCCGTATTTGTAGGAAGTGGATTGAAAAGATATAACACAAACAGTTTCGTTGCAATGAAAATATTTCCTTCCGTCCCCCGAGCCTCGGTAGCGCAGTAGGCAGCGCGTCAGTCTCATAATCCGCAACTAGGAGAAATCTGAAGGTCGTGAGTTCGAACCTCACCCGGGGCATTTAGTTACTGTTTTGGAGCCGTCTTAGCTTGAAGCGTCTGTCTCGAGCAATTACTATTTGAGAAATGTTTTTGATATCGAAATATTCAATTCCCCTTTGATTATTCGACTCTAAGCAATGGACTGTTCTTTTCTCTTTAAAATTCAAAGTCTTATATATTTCGGGAAAGATGGTGTAAAAAATATTTGTTTCGGTAAACATTGTTTTAGAAGTAAAAAAGTGACGTTTTTTGATAAAAATACTTCAACTGTTTAAAAAAATTAGATAAAGAAATAAAGACATTGCATTTTCACAAAAATTCGAATGTACTTGAAGGGAGTCCCATGTGGTCTAGTGGTAAGGATTCCTGGCTCTCACCCAGGCGGCCCGGGTTCGATTCCCGGCATGGGAAGTTTGGGTTCCATGGTGTAACGGTTAGCACTCTGGACTTTGAATCCAGCGATCCGAGTTCAAATCTCGGTGGAACCTTTATTGCTTTTAGATACGACAATAATGTGGGAGTTGTCAACTCTGAGGAAGAGTTTATCCAAATCCGGAATCTGAAAGAAAACTTGATAAGAGTGATATTTTTTAATGTGAAAAAGGCTTGTATAGTAAATTCCTGTTCCAATGACCGCAGTACGAAGCGAAAATTTTTAAATGATTTTCTATTGTAAATTTAAAGTTTGTGTGAATTTTATCTGCTTCCAGAGAAAGTGAAATCATGCAAAATAACATACGTTTCTCTATTCAGTCCATGCGTTCTCAAATTCCACTAAAAAAGTTTTCTTTCGAGAAGAATTAAAACCAAACTTTTATAAAAACAATTATAATGCTGATGTGCAAAGATAAGAACAATTCGAATAGAGACGTTGTTTGGTCGTTCCTAGAGTCTCCCATGTGGTCTAGTGGTTAGGATTCCTGGCTTTCACCCAGGCGGCCCGGGTTCGATTCCCGGCATGGGAAATATGGGTTCCATGGTGTAATGGTTAGCACTCTGGACTCTGAATCCAGCGATCCGAGTTCAAATCTCGGTGGAACCTTGCTTTTTGAAACAGATGTTATTGACACCTATCAAGACGTACATGTAGAATTCGAAACTTGTAAGAGTTTGAAAAGGAAGAGAGAATTTAAAAGCATTAAAGATAAAAATATTAATTCTATGAATATAAAAATAACAAGGTTCTTTCGAGACAAACGGATTTATTTAAATGAGGGTAACGGATTTGAAAATTTCTGTTGATTATTTCATTTTCCTTCATGCTTAAATTACCTTTCCGGACGGCCTATTTCAAAAGAATATTGAAAAAGAAACACATAGATCGTAAGTTACATTACGTTGTAACGATTTTCATATCCAGTGTCTCTATAATCACGAAGGATGATAATGTCTTCTAAAAAACATCTAATGTCCCGCTACGTGCACAAATCCGTATTTGTAGGAAGTGGATTGAAAAGATATAACACAAACAGTTTCGTTGCAATGAAAATATTTCCTTCCGTCCCCGAGCCTCGGTAGCGCAGTAGGCAGCGCGTCAGTCTCATAATCCGCAACTAGGAGAAATCTGAAGGTCGTGAGTTCGAACCTCACCCGGGGCATTTAGTTACTGTTTTGGAGCCGTCTTAGCTTGAAGCGTCTGTCTCGAGCAATTACTATTTGAGAAATGTTTTTGATATCGAAATATTCAATTCCCCTTTGATTATTCGACTCTAAGCAATGGACTGTTCTTTTCTCTTTAAAATTCAAAGTCTTATATATTTCGGGAAAGATGGTGTAAAAAATATTTGTTTCGGTAAACATTGTTTTAGAAGTAAAAAAGTGACGTTTTTTGATAAAAATACTTCAACTGTTTAAAAAAATTAGATAAAGAAATAAAGACATTGCATTTTCACAAAAATTCGAATGTACTTGAAGGGAGTCCCATGTGGTCTAGTGGTAAGGATTCCTGGCTCTCACCCAGGCGGCCCGGGTTCGATTCCCGGCATGGGAAGTTTGGGTTCCATGGTGTAACGGTTAGCACTCTGGACTTTGAATCCAGCGATCCGAGTTCAAATCTCGGTGGAACCTTTATTGCTTTTAGATACGACAATAATGTGGGAGTTGTCACCTCTGAGGAAGAGTTTATCCAAATCCGGAATCTGAAAGAAAACTTGATAAGAGTGATATTTTTTAATGTGAAAAAGGCTTGTATAGTAAATTCCTGTTCCAATGACCGCAGTACGAAGCGAAAATTTTTAAATGATTTTCTATTGTAAATTTAAAGTTTGTGTGAATTTTATCTGCTTCCAGAGAAAGTGAAATCATGCAAAATAACATACGTTTCTCTATTCAGTCCATGCGTTCTCAAATTCCACTAAAAAAGTTTTCTTTCGAGAAGAATTAAAACCAAACTTTTATAAAAACAATTATAATGCTGATGTGCAAAGATAAGAACAATTCGAATAGAGACGTTGTTTGGTCGTTCCTAGAGTCTCCCATGTGTCTAGTGGTTAGGATTCCTGGCTTTCACCCAGGCGGCCCGGGTTCGATTCCCGGCATGGGAAATATGGGTTCCATGGTGTAATGGTTAGCACTCTGGACTCTGAATCCAGCGATCCGAGTTCAAATCTCGGTGGAACCTTGCTTTTTGAAACAGATGTTATTGACACCTATCAAGACGTACATGTAGAATTCGAAACTTGTAAGAGTTTGAAAAGGAAGAGAGAATTTAAAAGCATTAAAGATAAAAATATAATTCTATGAATATAAAAATAACAAGGTTCTTTCGAGACAAACGATTTATTTAAATGAGGTAACGATTGAAAATTTTGTTGATTATTTCCTCATGCTTAAATACCTTTCCGACGCCATTCAAAAGAAATTGAAAAAGAAAACATATCGTAAGTTACATTACGTTGTAACGATTTTCGATTCCCGGTATGGGAAGTTGGGTTCCTGGTGTAACGGTTAGCACTCTGGACTTTGAATCCCAGCGATCCGAGTTCAAATCTCGTGGAACCTTTATTGCTTTTAGATACGACAATAATGTGGAGTTGTCACCTCTGAGGAAGAGCTTATCCAAATCCGGAATCTGAGAAGAAAACTTGATAGAGTGATATTTTAATGTGAAAAGGCTTACATGTAGAATTCGAAACTTGTAAGAGTTTGAAAAGGAAGAGAGAATTTAAAAGCATTAAAGATAAAAATATTAATTCTATGAATATAAAAATAACAAGGTTCTTTCGAGACAAACGGATTTATTTAAATGGGTAACGGATTTGAAAATTTCTGTTGATTATTTCATTTTCCTTCATGCTTAAATTACCTTTCCGGACGGCCTATTTCAAAAGAATATTGAAAAAAACACATAGATCGTAAGTTACATTACGTTGTAACGATTTTCATATCCAGTGTCTCTATAATCACGAAGGATGATAATGTCTTCTAAAAACATCTAATGTCCCGCTACGTGCACAAATCCGTATTTGTAGGAAGTGGATTGAAAAGATATAACACAAACAGTTTCGTTGCAATGAATATTTCTTTCTCCCCCGAGCCTCGGTAGCGCAACTGTTTAAAAAAATTAGATAAAGAAATAAAGACATTGCATTTTCACAAAAATTCGAATGTACTTGAAGGGAGTCCCATGTGGTCTAGTGGTAAGGATTCCTGGCTCTCACCCAGGCGGCCCGGGTTCGATTCCCGGCATGGGAAGTTTGGGTTCCATGGTGTAACGGTTAGCACTCTGGACTTTGAATCCAGCGATCCGAGTTCAAATCTCGGTGGAACCTTTATTGCTTTTAGATACGACAATAATGTGGGAGTTGTCACTCTGAGGAAGAGTTTATCCAAATCCGGAATCTGAAAGAAAACTTGATAAGAGTGATATTTTTTAATGTGAAAAAGGCTTGTATAGTAAATTCCTGTTCCAATGACCGCAGTACGAAGCGAAAATTTTTTAAATGATTTTCTATTGTAAATTTTAAAGTTATCCGCAACTAGGAGAAATCTGAAGGTCGTGATTCGAACCTCACCCGGGCATTTAGTTACTGTTTTGGAGCCGTCTTAGCTTGAAGCGTCTGTCTCGAGCAATTACTATTTGAGAAATGTTTTTGATATCGAATATTCAATTCCCCTTTGATTATTCGACTCTAAGCAATGGACTGTTCTTTTCTCTTTAAAATTCAAAGTCTTATATATTTCGGGAAAGATGGTGTAAAATATTGTTTCGGTAAACATTGTTTTAGAAGTAAAAAAGTGACGTTTTTTGATAAAAATACTTCAACTGTTTAAAAAAATTAGATAAGAAATAAAGACATTGCATTTTCACAAAATTCGAATGTACTTGAAGGGAGTCCCATGTGGTCTAGTGGTAAGGATTCCTGGCTCTCACCAGGCGGCCGGGTTCGATTCCCGGCTGGGAGTTGGGTTCCATGGTGTAACGGTTAGCCTCTGGACTTGAATCAGCGATCCGAGTTCAAATCTCGGTGGAACCTTTATTGCTTTAGATACGACAATAATGTGGGAGTTGTCACTCTGAGGAGAGTTTATCCAAATCCGGATTGAAGAAAACTGATAAGAGTAATTTTTAATGTGAAAAAGCTTGTATAGTAAATTCCTGTTCCAATGACCGCAGTACGAAGCGAAAATTTTTAAATGATTTTCTATTGTAAATTTAAAGTTTGTGTGAATTTTATCTGCTTCCAGAGAAAGTGAAATCATGCAAAATAACATACGTTTCTCTATTCAGTCCATGCGTCTCAATTCCACTAAAAAAGTTTCTTTCGAGAAGAATTAAAACCAACTTTATAAAACAATTATAATGCTGATGTGCAAAGATAAGAACAATTCGAATAGAGACGTTGTTTGGTCGTTCCTAGAGTCTCCCATGTGGTCTAGTGGTTGGATTCCTGGCTTTCACCCAGCGGCCCGGTTCGATTCCCGCATGGAAATATGGTTCCATGGTGTAATGGTTAGCACTCTGGACTCTGAATCCAGCGATCCGAGTTCAAATCTCGGTGGAACTTGCTTTTGAAACAATGTTATTGACACTATCAAGACGTACATGTGAATTCGAAACTTAAGAGTTTGAAAAGGAAGAGAGAATAAAAGCATAAAGATAAAAAATTAATTCTATGAATATAAAAATAACAAGGTCTTTCGAGACAAACGATTTATTTAAATGAGGTAACGATTTGAAATTTCTGTTGATTATTTCATTCCTTCATGCTTAAATTACCTTCCGGACGGCCTATTTCAAAAGAATATTGAAAAAGAACACATAGATCGTAAGTTACATTACGTTGTAACGATTTCATATCCATGTTCTATAATCACGAAGGATGATAATGTCTTCTAAAAAACATCTAATGTCCCGCTACGTGCACAAATCCGTATTTGAGAAGTGGATGAAAAGATATAACACAACAGTTCGTTGCAATGAAAATATTTCCTTCCGTCCCGAGCCTCGGTAGCGCAGTAGGCAGCGCGTCAGTCTCATAATCCGAACTAGGAGAAATCTAAGGTCGTGATTCGAACCTCACCCGGGCATTTAGTTACTGTTGGAGCCGCTTAGCTTGAAGCGTCTGTCTCGAGCAATTACTATTTGAGAAATGTTTTTGATATCGAAATATTCAATTCCTTTTTATTCGACTCTAAGCAATGGACTGTTCTTTTCTCTTTAAAATTCAAAGTCTTATATATTTCGGGAAAGATGGTGTAAAAAATATTTGTTTCGGTAAACATTGTTTTAGAAGTAAAAAAAGTGACGTTTTTTGATAAAATACTTCAACTGTTTAAAAAAATTAGATAAAGAATAAGAATTGCATTTTCACAAAAATCGAATGTACTTGAAGGAGTCCCATGTGGTCTAGTGGTAAGGATTCCTGGCTCTCACCAGCGGCCGGGTTCGATTCCCGGCATGGGAAGTTTGGGTTCCATGGTTGTACGGTTAGCACTCTGGACTTTGAATCCAGCGATCCGAGTTCAAATCTCGGTGGAACTTTATTGCTTTTAGATACGACAATATGTGGAGTTGTCACTCTGAGGAAGAGCTTATCCAAATCCGGAATCTGAAAGGAAACTTGATAAGAGTGATATTTTAATGTGAAAAAGGCTTGTATAGTAAATTCCTGTTCCAATGACCGCAGTACGAAGCGAAATTTTTAAATGATTTTCTATTGTAAATTTAAAGTTTGTGTGAATTTCATCTGCTTCCAGAGAAAGTGAAATCATGCAAAATAACATACGTTTCTCTATTCAGTCCATGCGTTCTCAAATTCGTCCCCCGAGCCTCGGTAGCGCAGTAGGCAGCGCGTCAGTCTCATAATCCGCAACTGGAGAAATCTGAAGGTCGTGAGTTCGAACCTCACCCGGGGCATTTAGTTACTGTTTTGGAGCCGTCTTAGCTTGAAGCGTCTGTCTCGAGCAATTACTATTTGAGAAATGTTTTTGATATCGAAATATTCAATTCCCTTTGATTATTCGACTCTAAGCAATGGACTGTTCTTTTCTCTTTAAAATTCAAAGTCTTATATATTTCGGGAAAGATGGTGTAAAAAATATTTGTTTCGGTAAACATTGTTTTAGAAGTAAAAAAGTGACGTTTTTTGATAAAAATACTTCAACTGTTTAAAAAAATTAGATAAAGAAATAAAGACATTGCATTTTCACAAAAATTCGAATGTACTTGAAGGGAGTCCCATGTGGCTATGGTAAGGATTCCTGGCTCTCACCCAGGCGGCCGGGTTCGATTCCCGGCATGGAAGTTTGGGTTCCATGTGTAACGGTTAGCACCTGGACTTTGAATCCAGCGATCCGAGTTCAAATCTCGGTGGAACTTTATTGCTTTTAGATACGACAATAATGTGGAGTTGTCACCTCTGAGGAAGAGCTTATCCAAATCCGGAATCTGAAAGAAAACTTGATAAGAGTGATATTTTTTAATGTGAAAAAGGCTTGTATAGTAAATTCCTGTTCCAATGACCGCCAGTACGAAGCGAAAATTTTAAATGATTTTTCTATTGTAATTTAAAGTTTTGTGAATTTATCTGCTTCCAGAGAAAGTGAAATCATGCAAAATAACATACGTTTCTCTATTCATCCATGCGTTCTCAAATTCCACTTAAAAAGTTTTCTTTCGAGAAGAATTAAAACCAAACTTTTATAAAAACAATTATAATGCTGATGTGCAAAGATAAGAACAATTCGAATAGAGACGTTGTTTGGTCGTTCTAGAGTCTCCCATGTGGTCTAGTGGTTAGATTCCTGGCTTTCACCCAGGCCCGGTTCGATTCCCGCATGGAAATATGGGTTCCATGTAATGGTTAGCACTCTGACTGAATCCAGCGATCCGAGTTCAAATCTCGTGAACCTTGCTTTTGAAACAGATGTTATTGACACCTATCAAGACTACATGTAGAATTCGAAACTTGTAAGAGTTTGAAAAGGAAGAGAGAATTTAAAAGCATTAAAGATAAAAATATTAATTCTATGAATATAAAAATAACAAGGTTCTTTCGAGACAAACGGATTTATTTAAATGAGGTAACGGATTTGAAAATTTCTGTTGATTATCATTTCCTTCATGCTTAAATTACCTTTCCGGACGGCCTATTCAAAAGAATATTGAAAAAGAAACACATAGATCGTAAGTTACATTACGTTGTAACGATTTTCATATCCAGTGTCTCTATAATCACGAAGGATGATAATGTCTTCTAAAAAACATCTAATGTCCCGCTACGTGCACAAATCCGTATTTGTAGGAAGTGATTGAAAAGATATAACACAAACAGTTTCGTTGCAATGAAAATATTCCTTCCGTCCCCGAGCCTCGGTAGCGCAGTAGGCAGCGCGTCAGTCTCATAATCCGCAACTAGGAGAAATCTGAAGGTCGTGAGTTCGAACCTCACCGGGCATTTATTACTGTTTTGGAGCCGTCTTAGCTTGAAGCGTCTGTCTCGAGCAATTACTATTTGAGAAATGTTTTGATATCGAAATATTCAATTCCCCTTTGATTATTCGACTCTAAGCAATGGACTGTTCTTTTCTCTTTAAATTCAAAGTCTTATATATTTCGGGAAAGATGGTGTAAAAATATTTGTTTCGGTAAACATTGTTTTAGAAGTAAAAAAGTGACGTTTTTTGATAAAATACTTCAACTGTTTAAAAAATTAGATAAAGAAATAAAGACATTGCATTTTCACAAAAATTCGAATGTACTTGAAGGAGTCCCATGTGGTCTAGTGGTAAGGATTCCTGGCTCCCAGCGGCCGGGTTCGATTCCCGGCATGGGAAGTTTGGGTTCCATGGTGTAACGGTTAGCACTCTGGACTTTGAATCCAGCGATCCGAGTTCAAATCTCGGTGGAACCTTTATTGCTTTTAGATACGACAATAATGTGGGAGTTGTCACCTCTGAGGAAGAGTTTATCCAAATCCGGAATCTGAAAGAAAACTTGATAAGAGTGATTTTTTTTAATGTGAAAAAGGCTTGTATAGTAAATTCCTGTTCCAATGACCGCAGTACGAAGCGAAAATTTTTAAATGATTTTCTATTGTAAATTTAAAGTTTGTGTGAATTTTATCTGCTTCCAGAGAAAGTGAAATCATGCAAAATAACATACGTTTCTCTATTCAGTCCATGCGTTCTCAAATTCCACTAAAAAAGTTTTCTTTCGAGAAGAATTAAAACCAAACTTTTATAAAAACAATTATAATGCTGATGTGCAAAGATAAGAACAATTCGAATAGAGACGTTGTTTGGTCGTTCCTAGAGTCTCCCATGTGGTCTAGTGGTTAGGATTCCTGGCTTTCACCCAGGCGGCCCGGGTTCGATTCCCGCATGGGAAATATGGGTTCCATGGTGTAATGGTTAGCACTCTGAATCCAGCGACCGAGTTCAAATCTCGGTGGAACCTTGCTTTTTGAAACAGATGTTATTGACACCTATCAAGACGTACATGTAGAATTCGAAACTTGTAAGAGTTTGAAAAGGAAGAGAGAATTTAAAAGCATTAAAGATAAAAATATTAATTCTATGAATATAAAAATAACAAGGTTCTTTCGAGACAAACGGATTTATTTAAATGAGGGTAACGGATTTGAAAATTTCTGTTGATTATTTCATTTTCCTTCATGCTTAAATTACCTTTCCGGACGGCCTATTTCAAAAGAATATTGAAAAAGAAACACATAGATCGTAAGTTACATTACGTTGTAACGATTTTCATATCCAGTGTCTCTATAATCACGAAGGATGATAATGTCTTCTAAAAAACATCTAATGTCCCGCTACGTGCACAAATCCGTATTTGTAGAAGTGGATTGAAAAGATATAACACAAACAGTTTCGTTGCAATGAAAATATTTCCTTCCGTCCCCGAGCCTCGGTAGCGCAGTAGGCAGCGCGTCAGTCTCATAATCCGCAACTAGGAGAAATCTGAAGGTCGTGAGTTCGAACCTCACCGGGCATTTAGTTACTGTTTTGGAGCCGTCTTAGCTTGAAGCGTCTGTCTCGAGCAATTACTATTTGAGAAATGTTTTTGATATCGAAATATTCAATTCCCCTTTGATTATTCGACTCTAAGCAATGGACTGTTCTTTTCTCTTTAAAATTCAAAGTCTTATATATTTCGGGAAAGATGTGTAAAAAATATTTGTTTCGGTAAACATTGTTTTAGAAGTAAAAAAGTGACGTTTTTTGATAAAAATACTTCAACTGTTTAAAAAAATTAGATAAAGAAATAAAGACATTGCATTTTTCACAAAAATTCGAATGTACTTTGAAGGGAGTCCATGTGGTCTAGTGGTAAGGATTCCTGGCTCTCACCCAGGCGGCCCGGGTTCGATTCCCGGCATGGGAAGTTTGGGGTTCCATGGTGTATACGGTTAGCATCTGGACTTTGAATCCAGCGATCCGAGTTCAAATCTCGGTGGAACCTTTATTGCTTTTAGATACGACAATAATGTGGGAGTTGTCACTCTCTGAGTTATCCAATCCGGAATCTGAAAGAAAACTTGATAAGAGTGATATTTTTTAATGTGAAAAAGGCTCGTACATGTAGAATTCGAAACTTGTAAGAGTTTGAAAAGGAAGAGAGAATTTAAAAGCATTAAAGATAAAAATATTAATTCTATGAATATAAAAATAACAAGGTTCTTTCGAGACAAACGGATTTATTTAAATGAGGGTAACGGATTTGAAAATTTCTGTTGATTATTTCATTTTCCTTCATGCTTAAATTACCTTTCCGGACGGCCTATTTCAAAAGAATATTGAAAAAGAAACACATAGATCGTAAGTTACATTACGTTGTAACGATTTTCATATCCAGTGTCTCTATAATCACGAAGGATGATAATGTCTTCTAAAAAACATCTAATGTCCCGCTACGTGCACAAATCCGTATTTGTAGGAAGTTGATTGAAAAGATATTAACACAAACAGTTTCGTTGCAATTGAAAATATTTCCTTTCGTCCCCCGAGCCTCGGTAGCGCAGTAGGCAGCGCGTCAGTCTCATAATCCGCAACTTGGAGAAATCTGAAGGTCATGAGTTCGAACCTCACCCGGGCATTTAGTTACTGTTTTGGAGCGTCTTAGCTTAAGCGTCTGTCTCGAGCAATTACTATTGAGAAATGTTTTTGATATCGAAATATTCAATTCCCCTTTGATTATTCGACTCTAAGCAATGGACTGTTCTTTCTCTTTAAAATTCAAAGTCTTATACATTTCGGGAAAGATGGTGTGAAAAATATTTGTTTCGGTAACATGTTTTAGAAGTAAAAAATGACGTTTTTTGATAAAAATACTTCAACGTTTAAAAAATTAGATAAAGAAATAAAGACAATTGCATTTTCACAAAGAATGTAGTAAACATTGTTTTAGAAGTAAAAAATGAGTTTTTTGATAAAACTTCAACTGTTTAAAAAATTAGATAAGAAATAAAAATTGCTTTCACAAAATCGAATGTACTGAAGGAGTCCATGTGTCTAGGGTAGATTCCTGGCTCTCACCCAGGCGGCCCGGGTTCGATTCCCGGCACGGGAAGTTTGAGTTCCATGGTGTAACCCTGGACTTTGAATCCAGCGATCTGAGTTCAAATCTCGGTGGAACCTTTATTGCTTTTAGATACGACAATAATGTGGGAGTTGTCATACTCTGAGGAAGAGTTTATCCAAATCCGGAATCTGAAAGAAAACTTGATAAGAGTGATATTTTTTAATGTGAAAAAGGCTTGTATAGTAAATTCCTGTTCCAATGAACGCAGTACGAAGCGAAAATTTGTAAATGATTTTTCTATTGTAAATTTAAAGTTTATGTGAATTTCATCTGCTTCCAGAGAAAGTGAAATCATGCAAAATAACATACGTTTCTCTATTCAGTCCATGCGTTCTCAAATTCCACTTGAAAAGTTTTCTTTCGAGAAGAATTAAAACCAAACTTTTATAAAAACAATTATAATGCTGATGTGCAAAGATAAGAACAATTCGAATTGAGACGTTGTTTGGTCGTTCCTGAAGTCTCCCATGTGGTCTAGTGGTTAGGATTCCTGGCTTTCACCCAGGCCCGGGTTCGATTCCCGGCATGGGAAATATGGGTTCCATGGTGTAATGGTTAGCACTCTGGACTCTGAATCCAGCGATCCGAGTTCAAATCTCGGTGGAACCTTGCTTTTTGAAACAGATGTTATTGACACCTATCAAGACGTACATGTAGAATTCGAAACTTGTAAGAGTTTGAAAAGGAAGAGAGAATTTAAAAGAATTAAAGATAAAAATATTAATTCTATGAATATAAAAATAACAAGGTTCTTTCGAGACAAACGGATTTATTTAAATGAGGTTAACGGATTTGAAAATTTCTGTTGATTAGTTCATTTTCCTTCATGCTTAAATTACCTTTCCGGACGGCCTATTTCAAAAGAATATTGAAAAAGAAACACATAGATCGTAAGTTACATTACGTTGTAACGATTTTCATATCCAGTGTCTCTATAATCACGAAGGATGATAATGTCTTCTAAAAAACATCTAATGTCCCGCTACGTGCACAAATCCGTATTTGTAGGAAGTGGATTGAAAGATATAACACAAACAGTTTCGTTGCAATGAAAATATTTCCTTTCGTCCCCTGAGCCTCGGTAGCGCAGTAGGCAGCCCGTCAGTCTCATAATCTGCAACTAGGAGGAATCTGAAGGTCGTGAGTTCGAACCTCATCCGGGGCATTTAGTTAGTGTTTTGGAGCCGTCTTAGCTTGAAGCGTCTGTCTCGAGCAATTACTATTTTAGAAATGTTTTTGATATCGAAATATTCAATCCCCCTTTCATTATTCGACTCTAAGCAATGGACTGTTCTTTTCTCTTTAAAATTCAAAGTCTTATATATTTCGGGAAAGATGGTGTAAAAAATATTTGTTTCGGTAAACATTGTTTCAGAAGTAAAAAAGTGACGTTTTTTGATAAAAATACTTCAACTGTTTAAAAAAATTAGATAAAGAAAAAAAAACATTGCATTTTCACAAAAATCCGAATGTACTTGAAGGGAGACCCATGTGGTCTAGTGGTAAGGATTCCTGGCTCTCACCCAGGCGGCCCGGGTTCGATTCCCGGCATGGGAAGTTTGGGTTCCATGGTGTAATGGTTAGCAATCTGTACTCGGAATCCAGCGATCCGAGTTAAAATCTCGGTGGAACCTTGCTTTTTGAAACAGATGTTATTGACACCTATCAAGACGTACATGTAGAATTCGAAACTTGTAAGAGTTTGAAAAGGAAGAGAGAATTTAAAAGTATTAAAGATAAAAATATTAATTGTATGAATATAAAAATAACAAGGTTCTTTCGAGACAAACGGATTTATTTAAATGAGGTTAACGGATTTGAAAATTTCTGTTGATTGGTTCATTTTCCTTCATGCTTAAATTACCTTTCCGAACGGCCTATTTCAAAAGAATATTGAAAAAGAAACACATAGATCGTAAGTTACATTACGTTGTAACGATTTTCACATCCAGTGTCTCTATAATCACGAAGGATGATAATGTCTTCTAAAAAACATCTAATGTCCCGCTACGTGCACAAATCCGTATTTGTAGGAAGTTGATTGAAAAGATATAACACAAACAGTTTCGTTGCAATGAAAATATTTCCTTTCGTCCCCCAAGCCTCGGTAGCGCAGTAGGCAGCGCATCAGTCTCATAATCCGCAACTTGGAGAATCAGAAGGTCGTGAGTTCGAACCAGGGCTTCGAACCGTAATTTTTTTTGTTCCGGTTTTCGTTACGGTTCAACTAAAAAATTAATATCGGTTCAGTTCCGGTTTTCGTTCCGACCAAAATAACGGTTTTTTCCGGTTTTCGGTTTTCGGTTCAGTTCCGGTTCGAAGCCCTGGTTCGAACCTCACCCGCTGCATTTTGTTACTGTTTTGGAGCCGTTTTAGCTTGAAGCGTCTGTCTCGAGCAATTACTATTTGAGAAATGTTTTTGATATCGAAATATTCAATTCCCCTTTGATTATTCGACTCTAAGCAATGGACTGTTCTTTTCTCTTTAAAATTCAAAGTCTTATATATTTCGGGAAAGATGGTGTAAAAAATATTTGTTTCGGTAAACATTGTTTTAGAAGTAAAAAAGTGACGTTTTTTGATAAAAATACTTCAACTGTTTAAAAAAATTAGATAAAGAAATAAAGACATTGCATTTTCACAAAAATTCGAATGTACTTGAAGGTCTAGTGGTAAGGATTCCTGGCTCTCACCCAGGCGGCCCGGGTTCGATTCCCGGCATGGGAAGTTTGGGTTCCATGGTGTAACGGTTAGCACTCTGGACTTTGAATCCAGCGATCCGAGTTCAAATCTCGGTGGAACCTTGCTTTTTGAAACAGATGTTATTGACACCTATCAAGACGTACATGTAGAATTCGAAACTTGTAAGAGTTTGAAAAGGAAGAGAGAATTTAAAAGAATTAAAGATAAAAATATTAATTCTATGAATATAAAAATAACAAGGTTCTTTCGAGACAAACGGATTTATTTAGATGAGGTTAACGGATTTGAAAATTTCTGGTGATTGGTTCATTTTCCTTCATGCTTAAATTACCTTTCCGAAAGGCCTATTTCAAAAGAATATTGAAAAAGAAACACATAGATCTTAACCCTTTAAGCGTTCCAAACGTCTTTTTCTGCCATCCTGAGATGCTTCAAAAACGCACCACACGTTTTTTCCCGTAAGACCGGGGACTCACCAAAAATGCATCAAACGTGTTTTTTCCTCCTCAAGTAACAACTTCGAAAGTGTTAGAGACGTCTTTTTCCGAAATACTTTCCCCCCTATAAAGGCTTAACATCTTGAAGGATAATTAGGGAGGGTTGGGGTGACACAATGGACTCTGACAGGAAGTTTTATGGCTTGCCCCGTTCTTCCCCTGCAGCAATCGTAAAAAACTGGGAAGAATTTAAAACCTCCAGAGCGTAGGGACTGTCAGTTAAAGTTTGTAAGTAAACTTGACTTGAAATTTTTTTGGGTTTGAATTAAATAAATTCTTTGATGTAGTTTTCACGATCTAAGCATTTTTATAAATCTTTCATTTAAATCATTTTTTAAGTTCCATCACATAAGTAATATAGATGATATACTCACTTTTGATTTAACATTAATTTGAAATTCAACGAATTGGGAAGGAAAAGGGTAGCTTGATAAAATCACATTTTTTACTTTACCTTAAAATTCTCAAGTAGAATTAAGTTTTTTTATAATGTATCTCTAAAAATATTTGTGATATATCTATATTTAAATTCAAAGTATATATCAAAACAATGAGGATAATTTACAGTTTCGTTTTTCTTATTTTAATTAATACTTCTAAGTTTTTTTTCAAAGGAATTATTTCGTTTGTGTTAAAAATTTATAAAAAAAAAGGTTCAAAATTTAAAACCTTTTAAACTTTTAAAATTCTAAACATGAATAATTTTTAAGTTTCTGTACAACAGAACTTGCAAAAATTTTGTACGCATTGATAAAAATAACAACAAAAAAAACCTATTTAAATCCTTTAGTTTTTCATAATATCAAAGCCAGGTATTCAGAGTATCTTACATACAATTCCTAGTTTTGTATTGTTTAGATAACGAATAATAATAGAATTTTTAATGTCTGAACTTCAGTTTCCTTCAAACAGAATGGGAACAACAAGCTCAAATTTTTAAGCTTGAATCTTCGGGCAAAGAGAAATGAAAAGCACCTGGACAAATTTACAGTTGACATTTGCGTCAATAAATAAATCTAAAGATCCATTTTAAATTCAAGTTAAAAAATATCTATTTATGCAAAATCTCTTATCATTTAGATTCTATTATAGTGGTTGGCTGAAGAACAAGTAATTAAAATTTTGACATTTTTTGTAATCTTAACCATACAAAACCAGGAATTTTATATTAGCTGCACTGAAATTCTGCATTTGAATTTCGAAAAATATATTTATGTAGGTATCTCGCGTACGCAGTTGAAAAATATTTACCATAAATACTAATAATTCTTTGGATATTTAAAATTTTAAATTGAATTTTTAATATATTCCACTTCTAATATTTTTTCATTTATTCCTTAAATTTCATACAATTTGGTTGAGTGAGTGAGTGAATATTAACGTCGCTCTCTTCAGCTATACTCGAGAACTTTTGGCGACGAACCTCGTCATTTTGAACCATGGTCAAGTGACGAGGATGACACCTGTGCTAGCACCTCTCTCCTTCTCCTCCTAACTACCACACCACACCAACAGAGGGACGTTTCAGCTCTTGACAGATTTAACGTGCATCGTTCCCCTACACGGCGGTTCTTCAGTGGTAATGGGCTCGAACTCATGATACGCCAGCCACGAGTCCGTTACCTAGAAAAGGTTTACCTGTTTCATTAAAAGATTCTAAAGTGAAGAAAGTGGAAATTATTGCCTTCCAAAAGGGAAAAATGTGTGTTTTGAAGTACAAGGATAAAAAACCCTGCATATGATTAGCATTTTTCATAACGTTGATATGATGGAAGTGAAAGCTAAGAAACGAGATTTTGTGAAAATGAAACCAAAAGCAGCGGTGTTTTATAATACCACCATTGGGTGGTGTTGATAGATCAGACCAGTGTCTATCCTACTATCCTGTTGCCCGAAATCAACAAAGGAAATACTACAAGAAGATTTTTCGACATTTGTTAAATCAAATTGTGTGGAATTCCTTCACTATCTATAAAAAAAATGGCGGTATTTTAAATCATATTGGTTTTCTAATGAAACTGATTGAACGATTGATAGAAGGAAGAAGTAGTTATTCCGATTCTCGAAACTTTGTTACCTCTGAAATTTCTGAAAATGTAGTCCGTTTAATTGGAAGGCATAAATGGAAATATGTGCTTCATAATGGCTTCATATGTGGAAAGTGACTCTTCAAGAAAAAACAAACCACCACGAAAATGTGTCGTGTGCTACCTTAAGAAAAATGATAACGGAAAACGCATTCGAAGAGAAACACGTTTTGAATGTAAAGATTGTAATGTTGGACTGTGCAGCGCCGTGTTTCGAAAAATATCACACTGAGACGGTGCTATAAACGACGTATATCAATCAATCAATGACGTATCTATCAATGTATACAAAATCTTTTTTCTTAAAATTAACGGTTTAAAAATGTTTTGAACAAATATATTTGTTTTTGCCCTCTATATGCATATGTACACTTCTAGCTTCAGTAATGTACAATTGTTTAGATAAACTTTTGGCTTTGTAAAAGGTATTTTGCTTTGACTAAACATTTTATAGCAAATTTTAATAATATTTTGTGTACTTCTTTGATAATTTTTGCTATTTATACCTGTTTAAATTATTATTTATAAAAGTTTCTTTGCAATTGTTTGTAAATTGAACAAAACCTTTTCTTACACAATTATGTATATTTGAGGATGAATTCTGATTTATTTTATATTCAGTAAATACAAAAAATTTTGTAAATTGCTTTTTCTTTGCAAATTTATTTGTTTTAAAGCATGCATATTTATATAATGAAATTTCTAACTATCCAAATTATGTCGGGCGTTTTCTCCATTAAAGGCTTTTAGGATTTTAGAAATCACCTTATAATTATTCATTATATATTTAATAAGGAAAAATATTTCCATATATAAATAAATTTTTGGTCCCGTAAGTATATAATTGTTTTTAGCTACAGTTTGTAAAATGTATTGGAATTAGTAGTGGGGCCGGAGTTTTACAAATTATGATTGTTTTTGACTGCACTAAGTTATATATTTATATTTCATTCTTTTTACATTATGAGTAGAAGTCATAAACAGTTTTATAACAGTAAAATAAATTTTGGTTTTATATTCAAATTATGCTATTATATGGATTCTGAAAATAATAAGTTAGTTTGACAACCATTATTTAACAATTTTAAAGCATTGAACATTTTGGAAGTTTTTTAAAACTTTTATAAAATACTAAATTATTAAAAATATTTAATTATTGTAAATGATTTATATTTCTTAGATTATTGGAAGCAAAAAGTATAGAATTTAAAATATATTTCTTTGTTGGATTTTAATAATTATTTTTATAGCTAAACCTGGAAAAACACGAAATTTTTCAAATATTAACTTTGAGATTTTTTAAAAAACATAAGTGGAGCTCCCAGTCCTAAATCCATATGAACTTTTATGGATCATATGTTTGGGAGTATTTACAAGATATTTCAAGATTGGAAAAAAAAGCGTTCGGGATTAGAAAATACATTTTCAAAATTAAAAGTCTGAAAAAAAACACATTTATAAAATTTGGAAAGGCAAAAACAAAAACTAATAGTGTCTGTAAAGCTCTAATTTTTAATATGTTATTTTCCAACTTATGTTCTACATCCAAACACTACTTGAAATAATTATGACTGAAAATATCTTTTTTTAATTCAAAATATTCTTTTACGCAATGTTAATAACATTTGTTACTTTGATAGATTATTCGGTTTCATCTAAACCTAATATTTTCACAATAGTTTTAAATACACAAAAAATTTATACACACAAAATAATAGTGATATAAAGGTAAACCCGAAATCATCAAGTTTGTAAATAATGTCAATTTTTTTTTTTCTAAATCGGGTAGTTTAGCAAGTTTGGGTTTTTGTTGCATGACTTGAAAATACTAAAGTAGTACTACAAAATATTTACTATAATGCAGTTTAGACATCAGGGAAATATTTAGCTCTTTCTACAACATTTGTATTCAGAACATTTACAGTTTGAAGTCTAATTGTAACATCATCTGTGAAAGCTGGATTTTAGATTTATAAATTTTAGTCGCGTATTCCTTCCCTTTCAAATGTTATTTCTCACAGAAGCCTGCTTACATTTTTGTCATACCATTTCTCAACAGGAAAAAATTAATGAAAACAAAGTAAAAAGCTTTTAAATTATATAAATTATGTGTACAAATAAATATAGTGGTCTTTAAATCAATCTTAATTAAGTAAATGTGAGAGAACTCAAAAGCTTCAAAACATAGCAAACATAAATTATTTTAAAATTAAAATTTCAGTTAATACCCATTTCACACGAAAAAGTGGCTTGTGTTCAAAAATATTTTCAATTAATTTAATTTAGAATTGCAAAAATACTTTAAAGTGAATCCAAAACTAAAATCAAATCTCAGAAAACTTAAAATTTTTTAAAACCTAATTGGTTTTCAGGTCTTCTGGAATGTATGCTTTGTCTAAGATCCAGCCTAGAGCCTAGGCTTTTTTTTACAGTTTGAAAGTATCCTAAA